TAATTTCAACTTTCATAAAATCGCTAAAACTTATCAAAAAGTCAAAGATTCGTAAGTCAATTAGCTCAAAATTCAATTAAGGGGGTCTTCTGATTTTTGAGCATTTTTTTGGGATTTTTTTGTAAAGACCAGTGAAGAGATAAAACTTTGAACTATTTACAATTTATTTATACATATTTCAAGAGTATACAGTTAAATTTCTAGCTAAAATCATTTCTTCTCATCCGAAAGTTGTTTACAAATAAAACCACAGAAGAAATTTTCAATCTTTTAAAAATATGAAAAAGTGAAAATATAGAAAATATATAAAATATACAATTATTCTAATTAAACAAATAAAATGTTCTCAAAAAACCAATTGCCTTAAAATTTTATAATTCAAAAATTATATTTATTAATTTATTAAAGTCAATTTGTTTTATTTAATTAAAATAAAATTGCAAGTGTCAATAACTAAGCCAGTGTCTATAACTGGGTCTTTTATCTTAAATTATTTTGATTTATTCTTTATAAAAAATTTTCAAATTTTATAATTTATAAAGTATTCTTCATACTATAAATTAAAATAAATTTTAAAGGATTAAAATATTTTTAATACTTAATAATTAATAAATATATAGATTAAAATTTTTTTTAATTTCTAGCCCTGTAGAAGACATAAATTTCATACGTATATATATATATATATAGATCTACTCTGAAAAAAATGTTAGTAATCAATAAACCAAAAAATGAGCTCAAGGTCAAGGTGAGACCGATATTTTTAAAGCTTACAAAATGACATAAACTTTTTTAAAATAACCTGTGAATTAAATACTAGTAGAAGTATTTTTAAAAAAGAGCCTCAGTGCGTCGGAGTAACTAAAAATAAATTGCCAAGTAAGTACAATATAAAATTGACAAGTGCGGTATTACTATACCGTATTCGAATACTACGAATTACAATAAGCAACCCTCTTATTCACCCTCCAGGACCTGCATAACTGTAATGTGTATATCGATTCCTTGATATAAGAAGTGGGTCGATCCTAGGCCTCACCTAACTTTCCCTGTCGTTTATAATTTTACGAGGGGAAGAAATAGGTCACTGAGGGTTGTAAAAAGGATTCATATTTTTTAGTTTTTTACGCATCAAATTTTAGATAAAAATGAGCACAGATGGTTAAGAATAATTTATGGGGAAGAGATTAAACTACTGACAAGGACTTACCGAGTAACAGCATTGGCTGATACTTAGATCACAGTAACTCCGTTTATATAAATAATTATATTGAACACTTGTATTGAGGAAACTTTATAATAAATTATTGTTTACCTCGAGAGTAAACATACAATACTGAGGTCCAGTAGTACCCAAATAAAATATCGATATCTTCCGAGGTCGTAAGGGAATGGCGCATTGGATATTATATCTTTAATTATATAAAAACAGATTTATATATGATTTAACTAAAAAATGTGTGTTTGACTAACAGCGTGTAGAATACGAATAAAAAATTTGATCTAAAAACACAAGTACGTGTAAATGTTGCGAAAGCGTTCGAGACCTTTCGCTCCAATATCTCAGACATTTTTATAAAATTCATTACTTTGTAATAAAAAGTTAATAATTCACTTCTTATTGTTACTTTTATTATATCCACAGATATTTGAGATTATTTATGCATTATTATTTACATACAATTATAATTATATTGTTTATGAAGAAAAGATTACTGTTTCTGTGGAAAAAAAATACATTTTATGGTTTTTTACATGACTATAAATCAAAATTATAAAGTATGACTTATGTAATGAAACTTTTATGACTAAAAAATGTAAATAAGGCGAAAATAAACGCCCAACGTGGGGCTCGAACCCACGACCCTGAGATTAAGAGTCTCATGCTCTACCGACTGAGCTAGCCGGGCCTGATATACGCAAAAACACGTGTTCAATAAAAGCTACTCCGAAATTTTACTAAAAATTTCAATTTTTTGGAGGTTTTAAGCAAAAAAAAATATTAATTTTACATAAATTATACGATGATCCACTTGAAAAATTCATTAATTAATTGAAGGCTTACAAATAAATTTAATTTTTAATTTTAATGAAATACAGATAGATCATTTAATACAAAGAAATAATTTAAAGTCATAATTCAACACTGCTACTAAAAAATAACGATACTTATAATAATTCTGATTATATTTATGTTTTTTTAATTTTACATAAATTATACAAAATATTTACAATATTACCTAATAAAAATACATAGAAGTGAAAAAAAAAATTTTTTACTCCAAAAAAAAAAATTTTTTTTCGGAGTAAAAAATTTTTTTTTTCACTTCTATGTATTTTTATTAGGTAATATTGTAAATATTTTGTATAATTTATGTAAAATTAAAAAAACATAAATATAATCAGAATTATTATAAGTATCGTTATTTTTTAGTAGCAGTGTTGAATTATGACTTTAAATTATTTCTTTGTATTAAATGATCTATCTGTATTTCATTAAAATTAAAAATTAAATTTATTTGTAAGCCTTCAATTAATTAATGAATTTTTCAAGTGGATCATCAAAATGATGATATAGTATCATGAGTTCATTTGTACAAGCTCAGTCGATTCGGTAGTCAATTTGACTACACAGATCTTTATGTTGACCAAACAGATACCTATCTATATGATGTTCCGGTAACGAGTTATAATGTTCACCGTAAAACCCCATTTTTTCAAGGCGCTTCTTATCTGGAGATTCAACTGGAGAGTCACCGGCTTATGTATCAATATTTTTCATTGAAAATTTTTTCTGACATACTTCAAAAGTTGTACAATAATATGTAATTAAATTTAATAAAATTATATCACTCATATTACCGCAAAAAAAAATCACAAAAATATGCTTTTTTCGTCTTTAAAACCCTACCCCTCCCCCTCTTAATAAAACTGTATGTTTACAAAAATGATACAACGTATGCTCGAATCAAATAAATGAATTTTTATTCTGTGCGATTTTTATAAATTTTAATTTTTTAAAAATTCATAGTTATTAAATTATAACTAATAAGCTAACACCAACTTTGCCACTTCTGCTCCTATTTACCGTATGATAAATTGGATGGATGCATCTAATAAGTGATATAACTTAGATAATAATCTGGATATCTGGCAGATTCATGATATAAGCATATTATGTACTATTCTTTCTGCGACTTATACGTAATACTGTTTAAAAATCTTAAAGATGTATTCTTTTTAATTATTGTATTTCGTATTGTACTATAACTATAACTATAATTATAATTATAATTTAAGGAACCCTGTTAATGGCTCTGCTGTTGGGTTCAGTGTTTGATATAAAATAAATAAATATTTGATTATTATCAAAATGACCTTGAACTTTTGAGTATTGACATTTCCTATGGTTAATATTACCCCTACTCCGATTGTAATGTAATTCATTTAGAGTGACTGTAAGACTGTGTCCTCTGTCGGCCGAAAAGTACATGAAATATTGACCATAATGTGATATAGAAAGTGTTACATTTAAAGTTTACAATAATCAAGATGATAATTAAATTTAACATTAATATTTACAATTGTATTTATATTAGTATAGTCTCTTTGAAATGATTAATAAATAAAAATGAACATAAATAAAAAATTCAGAGTACTTAAATAATCACTGTGGCTCCACAGTACACTGTGGAAACACCAGACAACCCTTAGCTATCGTCATGGCTCCAAAGCGGGAAACAAGTTTATTTAAGGTAGTTGTAGCGTGAAAGACATTTCAACAGAAAATTATGAAATTTTTTTTATTGAAAGATTAATATATAAATAATTCACTACCAAAATTTCAGATCAATTTACCGCACTGTTTTTGAGTAATTAATTTTTGAAATTGCATTTTTTACACGTAGAGGTATAGAGAGATGGTAAAGTTAGTATGAAATCTTCCGTACCACTTGAGTGGGCCAAAGATTTTGGCCCACTCGAGTGGTACGGAAGATTTCATACTAACTTTACTATCTTTCTATACTCTATCGTGTAAAAAATGCAATTTCGAAAATTAATTACTCAAAAACGGTGCGGTCAATTGATCAGAAATTTTGGTAGTGAATTATTTATATATTTATTTTTTGATAAAAAAAATTTCATAATTTTCTGTTGAAATGGCTTTCACGCTACAACTACCTTAAATACTCATTTAACTTAAGGTAGTTCACTCAGAACATATAGTTTATGCTATTTCTTTCCTTTTCACTCGCTAATGCTACATTTCACACGAGTTATCTCTTATTCGCTTTTACCAATGGTTATTTTTTGTTTAACTAGCCAGTTTATTAACATTTTATAAAAAACTACATGGTCAAAAATTTGAATTATTTTAAGTATATTATTTTAATAGGTATCAATTTTTTGAAACGATCTTAAAATTCTTTCAATGCAATAACCATTAATATTTGTGATTTTCTCACTTCATCCATACTGTCTGTTCTAAAATCTCATTTTTAATTACAATTATCTCATTTCTGGTATAGTGAATTGATTTTAAATTTCAACAGCACATGTAATGCGTATGTAATAGATTACCCATATTTCAAATACTTCTTAAAATTTTTCATTTATAACCGAACTACCTTAATAATTATTTATTCGAATGATTGTAAATTATTTAAAAAAATATTATTTAAAAATTAAATCATAAATGTACGATTTAACATATAATTTATGATTGATAATTAAATTATCCGTTAAATATTATTAACAATTGTATAAATATGCAAAAACATAAACAATAACAGAATGACAAGTATCTGACAAGAAGAAAAATAAAATAAGTGAAGTATAAAACGTTTATTGACAACAAACGATTCATTTATACATAGCTCAGGCAAATATGAATATAAAAAATATGAGGCGCGTCAGTTGATAGTCGACCTCGATATCTCTTCGCATAAGATTCATGTCAGCCTGAGCAAGATGTAAAAATAATAATATTGAATTAATTATTATATTTGCAATGGTGTTATTTCTTTTTTTAAATTCAAGAAACACGCACCATTTGCATTATTATGCCCGCTAAAAATTACACAAGCCAATCCGTTAACCGCCATTCGTTCCCAAAGTTTATTAACCCATTTATTAATATTCCGACAAGTTTTTTCTAAATTTTCCTCTGATACCTTTTCAGGCGTTAATTTAACATGACAAATAGTAAGAGCATGCTCCATTGAAATTTCACTGGCACGTCCTACCACGTGCTTATTCGAATTCCCAGTAACTAGTCTTACTTTATCATCTTTACTAAAATTAGCGTCGTCCATTATCGACAAAGAAGAAGTAATCAAGTACTTCGAATAATCATTTAATACTTCCTTGGTCCCAACAATTGACACAGTTTTTTTATCTTTCGCAACGTGTTTAAAAATGCTAACTCCAAAATTATAGCTATCATCATCACGCACCAAATTGTCATCTGGTTTTTGTTTCCTAAGCATCTCTTCTAAATTTTGCTGACCAACCACAAAAGCATCTCCAAAATCAATGCTATTAGCTAGCTTTAATTGTGCCAATTTTAACGCAGCTCGCGCATCTTCAGTCGGACAATGCCCGTCTTTTTTTTCCTGAATCCTTTCGTTCAAAAATTCCCGCGCTAAAACTTGTAATTTAGACTTGTGATTTCTATTACCGGTAATATTAAAAATAACAGACGTATCAATGATGTAAGGATGCATCATTTTTAAAGCATCAAGATCTACGCACAAACTTTGTCCCACAAGAATTGCATCAGGCGGTAGCAGCTCTTTAATTTTTTCCTGAACACCAGACAAATTTGTCGTTACATTTTCCAATAATTTTTCTGTAATCCCACTGTACTCTGTTAAATAATTAACAATTTTATTTTCAGGTTTTACCAAAGTTTCATAGACAACATTCATCTGCTCATCTACAATACATATCCTCGTAAGTTCTCGGCCTTCTGTTGTAGTACACATTTCACAATCGAGTCCAAACATTGGAGACTTGGGTGTAGCTTCTAAATAAACATCCTTAGTATTTATATAATTGTTGTACTTGGAATCTAAAGCACCTGGCCATCTTAGAGGGTAGTTTTCATCTATAAGCTGACTTAAGGACAAAAGTAATTGCGTGCGTGGGAATTTATCACCAGGTGGTAATTCAATGCTGTTGTCTTGAATTTTATCTTTTTCCAGAGAATTTTTGGACTTGATATTGACAGAAGATTGCATTGGAAATACATATTTAAGTAGCTTAACAATATCCCCCGTTTTCTTCTCAGCTACTGACAAAGATCCATATTTATCTATCAATTTCCTTCGTTCCGAAGTTGTCAATGGAACTGCTGCTAATTGTTCTATTACTGAGCCTCCTATCGTCGCTGGTGTTACTACTTCCAAGCGATGCTCAAGAAGATCAGTTATGTTGGGAAATAAAGACTCGTAGGAGCTAAAGTGATACATAGAGAGACCTTCTACTATGAAGACTACAGTGTGTGTGACTTTGTTGTACTTCTCCAAGTGACACCACCTGGATGGGGAGTATGGTGCGCCATTTCCAACCAAGGAGTACATTAAAAGATGTTGAATGTCGGAGAGGAAAATTGGAACGCGAGCTCTGGGGTCGATATTTTTTGTAAGACTAGCATTTTCACCGGCTCCTTTTATACGAAATCGGGGGATCGATGTCAAATGTTTCTTTCGCTCGCGAAGCTGCTGTCTGAGTTTTTGGTATTCTTCGCCAATCAAACGAGGCTTTTTGTTGGCTTGCTCTGTTTCGTGGTTTTCACTTGGATTTGTTTCATTTGAGGTTGTTGAAATTTCGTCGTTTTGGGATTCACTGCAAGTTCGCTTTCTTCTCGGGCTTTGAGCTGCAGATACTTCGGCTTCATTGTTAGAACATGACTCCATCTAAAAACAAATTTTATTAATATTCATGATAAAAACATCAATAAATTAGAAATTTGTTCAAGTCATTAATTTATCTTTCAAAAGTATTTTATTTATTTATTTATTTATTTATTTATATATCGCGACCCAAATGCCAAAAGGACGTATTACAGCAACTAAATAGGATTTTATGCCAAAAGGGCGTATAAAAAATTTTTTTTTCGCCATTCAACTTATACAACTGCTCAAAACGTAAAGGTTTGACAAAAAAAATTTTTCAATGTACTGATGCCAAAAAAGTATATATCTAAACATACGTCTTTTTGGCTTTAGAAAAAGTTTAGCCTAAAGCTAAATTTTGAAATTTTATATTTTCATTATTCATACGTGTACTTTTATAAGTTAATAAATAAAGCAAAAGGGCGTATAAAAATAACTTTCAATTTTGCTCTGAATTATAAAATTTAACTCTAAAATAAAATTTAACGCTTTTTTGGCTTTGGAAATTTATTTTTTTATTTTTAGGCTTAGAAAATGTTAATAAAGTGATTAGTAAAAAAAAAAAAAAGAAAAAATTTATGTGCCCTTTTGGCACTGCAAAGCCAAAAAGGCGTATAAATTAATATGCGCCCTTTTGGCATTTAAGTCGCGATATACTTATACGCCAATCGGCTTTATACATATTGGTCGGCTTAATACAAAATTTTCAGAGAAATTAATACAAAACAAAATTATAATAGAAAAAAAAAAAACTAATACCTATATATAAGGAAAAGTATAGCAGCATTATGAATTATAAGATTGCTTTTAATTTAGCTAAGAATGTCTAATAGGAACCATCGAAAAAATTTATGTCTGTGTGATATTTGTTAATAACAGCTGATATTCTGTTTTTTAGACCATTGATGACATAGATTTTATTTGATTTTGTTGCATTTGACAAAAAAAAAATATTTCTTTTATTCTTTAAAATTAAATTCTTTTTAAAATAATTAAAATATTTTTGAACTGAACTCTTGTACTGTTAATAATTAATAAAAATAAAAAAAAAACTTTATCTATTATATTGAACAATTCGATCTCTTGTAACATTGATAATTTGTTTTTTCTAGGTGTTACTTGTGACTACAATAAAGTTTGTCAGTGGTTCTGGGTGATAATTAAATAACATTCAATTAATATACGTTTCTTAATCAACTATAAAAGCCTATCTTATACTAAATTAATATCACAATGTATCTACAAATAGAATCTTTAATAGTTGACAACATGTATTCGTCAAAAAACTTATTTTTTTTTTATTTTACTAAAAATAAATAACTGAACTTACGGATTTTTTAAGCTTAAGTGCTTTTGCCTTATCTTCATCATTAAGTTTTGCTATTTGTAAGAATGCAGCTATTTTTTTTTCTTTTTTTTCTATTCTTAGGCGTTGTTTTTCGGTCAGCATTGTAATAATTGGTAATTCTCCAATCTTCAAATATAATGACCATTTAACGTTTACCTAAAATAAAAAAAAAAGTCAATATTTAAATTATAATTGATAACTACACTATATTTATTAATTTACTTTGAAATTATGTGATTAAAAGTCATAACGTGAGAAATAAATTAGAATCCTAAAGAGTCAACAAGCTTTTATAAATTATAATTCATTTGAATATAAAATTATATTAAAATTTATAGTTTCTTAATAAATAATACGAAAAAAAAACTGAAAGATAGATTTAAAGGTTGCTTAGTTACATATCTATCAAGTTATTGTCACAAAAAAAACAATTGAGAGTCTTTTAAATTCTGACTCTGAACATTTTTGGGTTTCTTTTAACAAATATTCTTTTATTAAATACATTAAAAAAAAATTGCATATTTTTTTTTTCAATTTCAATAAATAAAATTCTTTAATTTTTTTTTTTTATATTTCATTTCTCACAACAAATCCAAAAATTTGACACATGTGTATTCCTTTAAGTTTCATGAATAATTAAAAGCTGATTGACCCAATAAATATTTTATAAAATATTTAAAAATAAAATTGATAGTGAAATTCGAAATCTGAAAATTGTTTCGAATTATCAACTAAAACATAATTAATAATTATAAATACATATAAATCACTTAATAATACTGAAGTTAGCCGTCAGCTGTCAATTTTAAAAAATTTGTTTAACAATTACAATAAAAAAGTGCTTCTAAAAATTTTCACTTGTAATTTTTATTAATTTTCACATGTGGAATTTTTTAATTAAATTTTTTTTATAATAATTTAATTACTATGAAATTCTAAAAAAATTTTAAATGTCTGTCAACTTCAGTGTCATATCACTTAATGAGTTTTTATATTAAAGTTCTTCAATTCAACTTGATTATTAAGGTAGTACGATTATGAAAGCAATATTTTAAGAAATCCTCGAAACTTTGAATATAAGTCATTAAATACATAATACATATGCTGTTAAAATTTGAAGACGATTTACCATACCAAACTTGAGATCATTGCATTTGAAAATGACATTTTTGTACATGTAACATAAGAGAAGCGTGGGAAAATGACAGTATTTTTAATTTTTTCCATCGAAGGAATTTCAAGACTATCAAAAAACTTGTAGATTGAAGAATATGATATTTTGAACAATTAAAAAAAAAATAAAAATTATTTACCATGTAGTTTTCGAGATTAATTAAAATCAATTTCACTTTTAGAGGATTATTTTTAGGAGAGGGGGTACGAAAAACAGCCGCTAGTCACTGAAACCGTAGTGTGTGTGTATATGTATAGAGAATATATATAGTAGTGACGAGTACAGTAACGTTAAAAAATCTTAACCTACAACCTTAGTTCTGTCAATACGTATAACATGGATAGCGAGTCAAAATTTTTTATCTGGATTGTCGCGGAGGTACTACCTTAATGATATCTTTATAAAAATAAAACAATATCACATATATCTTCACTTTGATATGATCTATCATTTTTAGGTTATCTGAGCGTTCTACATACAATAATTACTTTACTTATAATAACAGTTCTGCAACAATTATTTTTATTGTTAATTATATAGATTTATAAGGAACTATAATATTAAATATTAAAATTACTAAAAAATTAATAAAATATTTAACATACTTTGTTGCAAATTTACAATAAGGAAACCATAAGTTTACATGATTTTCTCTTTAAGATTTTCCGTAAATAATAGTTTAATTACACGTACAATACGGATATTTAATAAATAATTTTAAATATACTCTTTAAATTATCAATTTCCGAATAATTAATGCAATAAATAAAACAAGTACTAACACGTGTGTTTACTTTCTAATATTCCTAGTAAGACATCTTTTGATATATACACGATATACGTTCTTTATCTTGTTTTTTAATTTTACTGTGTAGTAAAAATATTTCAAGTAAGATGTCATTACTAGTCGCGTAAAATTTCTGACACATGAGAAAAATAAAAATGAAGTCAGACTTGCGCGTCAACCTGCGCGAAATTTTGAAATCATAATACTAATATTAAAATGTCACTTTTTTACCCGTGTAAAAATGATATAATATCATTATGAGGCTCATAATGAATATCATAATGAATCTCATATTTTGGCACTGATATGAGATTCATATAAGAGTCATATCAATACTTTAGAAACCCGTAATAAGTAAAATACCTGTGGGAACGAATTTTTTTAAGTAGATCAGTAAAATTTTCATTTTTTCTGCTAATTAGAGGAAATGTAGAATAATTGAGAAAAACAGTATTTTTATCATGCACTATACTGTTGAACTACTTAACTTTTCTCCTCGTCTTTCTTAATTTAGAAAAATATTTAGAAAAACACTGACCATTTTGGTTTAAAAAAATTTTTTGACTGAAAAGATTTTTTCGTCTCAAGATAATTATTTTCTTATTTTGAAAACAATTCAAATCCTCCTAAAAATTTCTTTAATTTAATTATTTTGCAATATTTCCTGTATACAGTTATGACTCAATAATTTTATATCACGATTTAAAAAGACTAAAGTAGCGTGTCTGGGGGGGGTCTGGCTCCATCGGTAAAACAGATTTGTGAGTTCATGTCCAGGCTAATTACCGCCTGTCGATATGGGTGAGATCTGTTTTACCGACAGTGGTGTTGCTGTGGATATGGGTGACGTGTTTTACCGACATTTTGAGGTTATGGGCGAGGTTTTTATCGACTTGGTTGTAGGTGGCGCTGGTGGTGAATTCTGCCGCCATTTTTGAATCTACCCGCCATTTTTTTAAATCTATCCGCCATTTTGAATCCGCCATCTGGTGGTCGCTATCTGCCATCTTAAGTCTGCTATCTGAAATCCGCCATTTTGAGTCTGAAATCCGCCATCTGGTGGGTGCTATCTGAGTTTGAAATCTGATTTCCGCCATTTTCCCGCCATTTTGAATTGTGAATTCGACATTTTGTTAAAAAATGCAGAAAAATAAAAATTTTATAATCTAGTTAAAAAAAAAATTCGTTTCCATAAGTATTTTACTAAATACAGATTTCAAATGTATTGATATGGCTTTTATATGAATCTCATATTAGTGCCAAAATATGAGATTCATTATGAGCCTCATAATGATATCATATAATTTTTACACGGGCGTATTATTTACGTGTTAATTAAATTTATCAAATGCATTTTAATATAAAATTTTTGTTACAAAAAATTACATTTTTCATTTTTTTTAATTTCTACATGTCAATTTTTTTCTAATTTTTTTTTGCCATAATTTATTTGCTATAAAATTTTAAAAATTATTAAATATATGCTAAATTAATTTTCATACTTTTTTCAGATAAAATTTTAGAATTTTTAGAATTAAAAAAATAATAAATTATAGCAAAAAAAGCTCATTTAAAAATTTCATATTTAGAAGCTCTAAAAAATTATAAATGCAATTTTTTAAAAATAATTTTCTAGATCTAGTTTATTTTTCAAGAAAAATTTTAAAAATTGTGTCTGCTAATTTCAATGTCCTGTCAAGTGACCAAAAATTTCGTACAAGTAATTTAATAACAATACTTGAAGAATAGAAAAAAAAATTGCAAATTCTAGTATCCGGAAATTTAATAATTATGAATAAACAAATTAAATGTTAACTGAGAAAAAATTAAAAAATATTCCCACTAAGAATTCTTAAACAATTATTATGTGAATATTTTTCTCTAACAATAGGTAATTAACTAATAGAAACACAATAATAGTCATACAAGGAAGATTTTTCGGATAATAATATGAAAAGTTTAATTAAATAAGATATAAAATAATATTCTTTACATACATATTATATAATAATATTTATTTTTTGTTGTTTTATCTATCAATTTTATGTTATGCAGAATTATGGTTTTGTTTTCAAATAAATCAAGTTTAATCTATAAGTGATAAATATTTATAACTTCTACCATAAAAATATTTTTTTAAAAGTCAACAATGTTTCAAGCACATTTATTATTTTTTTTTAATATATTTACTGTTATGTAATTTATATTCTTCATGTTAAAATCTATTTATGAAAAAAATTTGAATTTTTAGAGACTTTATCATCATATGGGATTAAAAAAATAGTATAAATAGAGATTGCCTCGCTAATAAGACTTTTAATTAACTGTAAGATAATTTAATGAATTAAAAAATTTTTTTAAGTTGCGACGTACAAATTATTTCTACTATAAAGTTTTATTTTTTTTAAACATGGAATGAGGTACCTATAAAATATTAAAAAAACTATCTTTACCCAATAGCTAATGACTTGTGATACTATTTGCTATGAGTCATGTCGGTGATAAATATCAATATCTTCAAACAAATGCAAGTACAAAAGCTTTAGTTCAAATAAAACCATACATAGGCAAACTCACTAATTACGCAAATCAACGTAAGTTTAAAAACATGAATGTTATCTATTTTGTAGTAACTTTTATGGTTTGTAAATGAAAAAAAAAAAAATAATTTTCAATTTAATTTAAAAGAATAATAATAAAAATATTATTCGTAATTTTTTCATTTTTTTATGTCAGTTAAAGTACCAGAAAAATCAACAAAATCAATTATAATTATAAACGTATAATTTTATTAACAAAAATTTAAAGAGCTCAAAGTTGTTTTGAAGCTTCTGTAGTAATTTAAAGTAAATTATTTTTTTCATCAAAGTATTATTATATTAAACAAAACCTTTGTTTTACTAATGGGTTTAAAATACGGAAGTTATTCCAAATTTTCATAAAACGAAACGTTGTTATTGTTACTTGAAGCATATAAAAATTTTTAATACAGTTCCTAGTTTATTATATTAAATTACAATATTTTAGCAAGCTCATCACATCCGCATCATTTTTGATAATTATTTTTATTGAATTTTTTTTTTTTTTATTTTTCTCTAATGAGGAAATTTTAGTAAATAAGATAAAAAATAGAGTTTTGTCAAAGAAAAAGCCAGATTTGATCTGTTGCATCTATTTTTTTAATCAATAAATCCATTACTTGAAATTTTCTTAAAATAGTGATTATAAATTATTGATTGTAAACTAGCAATTAGTGATTATCAATTATCAATTACTAAAAATTTGTATCTTTTTGTTTTCCCCTCTCTCAAATCTCTTAATTCTTAAATCTATCTTCTCTTTACAGATGATATTTATTGTATATAAACATTACTAAACACTCTACACATGAAAATGTAAAATATTCTTGTAAATTGCCGAGGGAGTTCCTTTACAAATAAATAAATAAATAAAAGTGATAGAGATGTGATGAGCTTGCTAAAATATTATAATTTAAATTGGCTGAAATTGGTTAAAAAATTTCTTTCTTTTATTATGTCCTTT